GAGTAAGACTTCATTTTAAGCTATTATATACAATCACTTCTATGCGCACTACAGAAACGCATGTCAACCAGGCCAAAAATATTTTTTGAAATCAAATTAATGAATATTTTAGGTGCTTGCTTTTTAGAATACAACTTGGTACTTTTCTGGTTCTAAGATGAGAAAACCCCTTGCTGAAAGGAGTACTTCTAGGGGCAAGGTGTGGGACTTCTGGTGGCCAGGGGGTGGGACTTCAAGCCCCAAGATGTCAACCAGGGGCAGAATATCTTTCAAGGAATGGAGCTACTAACGTGGCCCTTGACAGCTTGCCAACACTTGGTGAGTGGCCCTCTGCCCAAAATAATTGCTCACCCCTGGCTTAGAAGATCATTCCAATAGTTAAAATCTTCTTTTAGGGACTGGGCTTGATGCAGTCCCTATCAGGCCTGTGATTGTGTGTAGGACACATCCAATAGAAATTGCTGAGCAGGTGTATAAATACACTAAATCAATATTTGGTTTTGTAACTGGTCCTGAAGAGCAAAACCCACACAAAAGGCATGGCATACCTGCTTTCTGAGGTCACATCTGTCTAACCATGTTGCCTTCTCATTGCTCTGGTTTGAGATAGTATGCCCATATGAATGCACTTTCCTTGTCCTTCTTAATTCTGTCCTGGTTATGCCCAGGGGACTGTGGGCCAGCCCCTCATCTGATGTACCACTGATTTGCACAAGCTGAGGAGTTGAATTTCTGTTTATAGGTTCCATTCTCCCCCAGCCCTGAATGTCCTAATTACCAGCATCCTTCCGGATAGGGACTGTCCTAGGAGTCTTCTCCAAATCCACCTGAAAGTTCTGCAGCACTGTCCTCACCAGGCTGCCTGATCATCTCACAGCACTCTGATGCCCAAAGCCCCTCTGTGACAACATGCACCATGTGAACTTTCTGTTAATACACTGGCTCCAGCTGTTCCTTGGAAAGTTCCACCATCACTGCTTCCTGTATGCCTTCCAAGGGGTACCCACAGCACCTGTTGAAGTGCTGAAAGGCCATAAAACATGTTCAGCAGCACTCTGAAAGCTGTTTGGAGCAGCTTGGTTCAGTCTACTGGGCACCCACATAAGTATTCAGCCTGCAAAGGCCAGAACTTCTGACCTCTTCTTGCCGTGCTGTCAGCAATGCTGTTTGTAAAGCAGCATTTTCCAGCTGGTATAAACACCTGTAAGAGCAGCTGCAGATGAGAAGGGGCCTGTCCACTTTCTACTAAAAGGAAGAGAAAAAACAGGAGCTGCTCCCAGATTCCAGTGGGAAAAGAATGCCCAGGGGAGAAAAGGTGAAGCAGAAGTGCAACAACCAGGGCCTGTGCCCTACCAGCAGTTTTAGGAGTGGCAGCAGGGCCCGGACAGCTGTGGCAGCTGTGGTGGTTGGGTCAGCAGTGGCAGTAGCTATTGTTCTTGCACCCCCTTTAAGTGGGCAGCCAAGGCTAGTGTCTTAGTCACCCACCACTCAACATGACACTGTGAAACAGCTAGGTAGTTTGCTTGAGGAACCAACCAGTATGGTTGGAGGAGAGGAGGAGCAGTGATATAGCAGAGAAGCACAGCCTGCGAAGATGGAGTTAAGATGAAAAGCAGGAGAAAGTGAGTATAGCTGCCTTTTAAAATAAAAATGTAAGAAAGCACTTGTTGCAATAAAGACAATAATACTTAAACTCTGTCTTAACATTACTGCTCCACAAGGATGTGACATAGAACATAGGACATGGAGGGACCTCCTGGGACACTTGATGCCTCTCTTGGGCACCAAGTCACATTATCCCATTAATAAACTTACTAAATTCAATCTTAAAACTAGTTAGGTGCTTTTATTATATAAAATAATAAAAAGCATAGTGCCAGCTAGTAGGTATGCCATTTAACCCTGCTGTATAATCCAAGAACAAAGAGCTGCTGCTCAAGGACTACTAGGTACTGGCTACAAGAAAATACTATTTATGCAATGCTTAATTATTCTGTGGAACTCACTGCTACATGATATTATTGAGAAAAATACTGCAACTAAATAAGGGTTGTCAGACAAGTAAAGGAGTAGATGTTCATAAATAGCTGTTTATAGTTAGGGGAAAATTACCAGAGCTATCAATCCTCATACTTCAGAGAGTGAGGCAGTCACCAGCAGAGTTGAGATAGTGTCTCCCCACAGAACTGTATTAGAAAATTAGCTACACTATGGAAGTTTTACACTTTGTGAAGCAAACCAACATTAGCCACTGTGAGCAATAGGATATGAGACTGTATTGTCCATTAATTTAATCTGGTATGGCAACTCTTCTGCCCCTATGTAACAACCATGTATTTATCATAGTTGGCTTGCTTCCACTTATTAGGCTTTGATTAGTCCCTGGCCTGGTTGAGTGTTTGACATAGTTTTACATGGAAAACAGAAGCAAACTCCAGGGCTATGTATTCTTCCTTGTAGCTCTTGTGATGACTTTCCTAGTTACAAGTGTAGAGTTCAAATCCCCTGTGATCATAGCACTAGACATTTTTAGGCAGCGCTTTTTCTGTTCAAGCTTTTCTTATAGCATAGTCATAGCCATAAAACCTACAGAATCCTTTATAGTCCTGTTTTATCCTTCCCCATCCCATCCATACGGTTTCTACTCCACTGGCTTGATCCAGAACTCCAATAGTATTTCTGTTATGGTAATGTAATGTTTCCCTGGTGTCGTGTTGGCAGCTTTCTTTGGCAGCTCTGAAGCTACCGATAGCTCCTTCCCACCCATCTAATCTGTCTTGCTGTATTTGTAATTTCACTCATCACTGTTTTATCTGACTGCTGTACTATCTAAACTGTAACCTGCTGCACAGGCTGGATCTCAATGACAGCTCCTTTTCTGACCATCCTGGATGGGCCTGGTAACATAAATATCTCTTTCCTGAGTACTTTTCAAAGCTCTGTTCTCAGTGATTGAGGTAGAGAGGACTAAATGTTATCCAACCTCATTTCTAGATTCCAGGCTCTAACGAAGCCATAAGGGAAACATACAATATTGCCCTGTGGCAAATGTTTTTTGGCACAATCCACAGGCAAGTTGTAACAGTAACAGGACCTTTTCCTGACTCTGGCTTCTAAAATGACAATAAAGCAGTGGTAGAGCATTCTTGTTTTCCAGTCAGTATTTAGGCTTAATGATAATCCTATTGATGGCAATAACCAAGGCCCCCTTGACTTTAGCTCTCTAAAACTTCTCTAGAGCAAGAACAAGAACCACGACTAAAGCTCGGTTCTTGTAACATGACAATGCAGACCATAACCACTAGACCACCAGTCAGCTCCTGGGGGTGTCTTTTCTCTTAAGCATTTAGATCATCAAAAGTATGATCTTGTTGAGGTCCCAGCATACAGAACCTGGGATCTACTGCATGCTATACAGACAATGCTGCCTCTACTATAATATAAACATCAAATAAATATTAATTGTAAAATTAAATTTTGAACAATAATCTCCTTAGGTCAGATTTAATTTCAGGTGATAGTGTAAAAGGAATAAATGTTGCATGTAGTATACTTTGCAGATCAGTTCTCAAGGGCATTTATACAAATAACATTTTTACACTAAGCAAATATATATGAAGTATCCATACACTGTGTGGATAATGAGAAACTATTAGCATTGCAGTAGTTGCAGAGCTTATAGTAGTCAATTCAGAATGATCATTAATTCCAGATCATATTCTATTCAAAGTGCTATTAATCTCTGGGTAGTATTTGGTTCAATCCCAGGTATAATTCATGTGTGGCTAACATTTGTTGCCCATTTCTAAGCAGTAACTATAGGGGTATAAAGTTATGCAGAATGGTGCCTCTTCCCTCTGCAGCCCCGCTTCCTGCTGCTGGGAAAACTGGCAGCAGACTATGCAGTTTATGGGGCAGTGAAAATTGCATCCTACACAGAACCACTGGTTCCAGATAGCTGGGTCTGAGGGTGTTGACACTTGAATCCCTATTGGCTGGTGAAAAAGTTCTATTGGTCTCTCTCTGCACTGGACACTTCCATTTGTGAACCCAAGCCATTTGGCTAAGCATCTTACAGACAATCACTCCTTGGCCTTACAAGTGACACAGAATATGCCATTCTCCAATATTTTGCCATGGGGACAAGCTTTCTAAGGAGACACAAAGAGCTGTTCTTAGCACCTTCCCATCCCTACTGCTGGGTGTGCTCTGCTGTGTCAAGTCTAAGGTAGCAGATGTGTAGTAAAAGAAAGCAGAAGGATTTCTTTCTAACCACCAGTTTTCAATATTCTCTAGTAATAACTTTGAACAGAGGAAAGAAAAAAACAGAACAGCCATAGGGCAGAAGGAATGCAACTCAAAGTTTTCCTTTATTCCTGTTTTATTTTCCCTACAATCCAAACATCCTCTGGTGACTGGAAACTAAAGCAATGCCTACTGCTTACAACAATTGAGACATTCAACTTAATTATACAGCCTTTGCCAATACTAAAGACTTTCAGTAATTTGTACCTATTGTGAAAACTGGAGTTTTTCAATTCAATAGACAAGTGCAGCTAAACAGCTTTAAAACTCTTTCACTCCTCTTAATTATTCCATAATATGTTGCTGCCTGTTTTTATACAAATTAGGAAGCCCAAGTAATATGAACCCTCACTCCTACCCTGTCACCACTGTTATATCTTTGCTGGCAAGACGAGAGAGGTGTGTAATTTATAAAGTATTTGGATTATCGAGGTTCTGATGCAGAGCGGTGATTTACACAGATTAGAGAGCATACATCTTTCTCTACCACTTTTCTGTCTATTTTCATCTCAATACCATGCATTTCAGAACCCTCATCGCACCCAGGGCACTGTCAGACCATCTCACCTATGCTCTTCTTTCAGATTCCCTAAATTAGCAGAATGTTCCTGACAGCAGAAGATGCCTGACCCTCTAGGGATATCTGGAATCAACTGAATAATATTGCTCTGGACGGTTAACACCTGCAGTCCTACCTTTGACACCTGAAGGGGTCTTTTCTGCTCAGAGCCCCCCTGTAGGCGGAAGCCCCAGGGGGCCCCTCCAGTCAGAGTGACAAGCACTTCTTCTTCAGCTCCCATGACTTCAGCTCCTTTCTGGTTCCTTTCCTTCTCTGGTGAATTCTTCACCTCTTCCAAAAAAACCCCAAAGATTAAGGGATGGCAGCTCTAACTTCCATCTTCACAAATGGCATCTACCTCCTCTTGAGTCCAGCCCTCTCCTCACTTTCTGCCTCACATTCAAAGGCACGAGAAGACAGTTCAGACTGGTAAGCCCAGCCTTCCCTGCTCTGTTGGACTCTCAGCTGCTGTTCTGTCTATGATTAGGCATTTGATTCCACTTTTGGTAAGGGGCCAGAGTTGTCCCACACGTGTCATGTCAATCTAACCCTTTCTGCCCCCCTGCATATACACCATGGGTCTCTCACTGACTTGTGGCTGAAAATAGCTCATATCCTGTCTCTCTCTGGAGCTTTGTCTCACGCTCCGAAAGCTGGAGGGCTTCCATTTAAGCATTTCAATAAAAGTGATATTTTTCCCTCCCACTCTCATATAACTCCTGGGGTTACCCAGCATTCAGAATTCATTAAAATGGCAGCTGCAGGCAGAGAGATGACACTAGTGCAAACTCCCTCACAACTGGCTCAGCTACAGAGCCAGCCTTTGGGAATCTTAATGTGATGAGCTTTGGAGAAACAAATGTTGTCTTCATGCCAGGCAACCTGGCTGGATCTCCTCTTAGCTCCCATTCCTCCTTGGAGAGTGCGGCCCCTGTTCCTTACAGCCACCCTGGGCAGGGACTAGAGATGAGAACTCCCCTCACAGCCAGCTCCTCCCTGCTCTCCCCTTGGGCAACTCCTGCTAGTAGATGTTGGTGCTAGAATAACTGAGGGGGGTTGTGACTGTGCCAAAGATGGGGTCCATGGGATAGCACAAGAGTATGTGGGGAGCCCTGTGGGTTTTTTTAGTTTTATTTTTTTTCTTCGTATTTTGGGAAATTTTTCATGTTCCAGGACAAATTAGCCAGATCAGTTCCGAATCCTTTTGACTGAGCAAAACTCAATTGTTCAAACACCGTATGTGGTAATACAAGTAGCAAGTATCCTCCACCCTAGACTTTTAAGCCCAGGGCCTCACATACTTCCAAATCTATTGGCAGGCATCCTACGTGCAGCTTCAACCATAGGCGATGTGTAGGGAAGGCATGGGGGGACATATGCCCCCCTGAGATTGGTCCTCACTAGCTGGGGAGTAGGGCCTGCCAGCCAGTGTCCCTCCTGAGAAGCACCAGTAGCACCTCTGATTTTGCCGCCAGCACTTGTGGGGTCAGCAGTCGGGCATGGGGGGACCCCCAGAGTCAGGTTGCACCAGTCACCCATGGGCCCAAGCCTGGAGGCTTGGGGTTTGGATGCCCCTGAGTCTGGCTTGCCCTCAGCCAGTACCCACAGGAGCAAGCTAGGGAGCAGTCCCCCATTTCCATAGTCGACATGTAGCCGAGATCCTCCCACTGGAAGCTGGCCAGTGTGAAGCTAACTACAAGACTCTCATAGCATGTCCTGTCCACAGTGCATCTGGACAGGGGTGCATCCTCCACTACACAATGCCTTTTAAATCCATCTCAGCTCAGGTACCAAACTACACTTCATCTTAGCCCTCAAGAGGTTTTTTTTTTTTTGAGGTTTTGTTTTGTTTTTTTAAGGAAAATGTTTAGTATTTTAAGGCAAGTCAGCCAAAGCGATTCCAAATCCGTGAGTCGATCAAGAACCAAATGTACCCCTACTACCATCGTAGCCCACAAGAGATTACTTCAGCTCTTCCCTATTTTCTTCCACAGGCTGAGGAGCCAAGTGCAGGCGAGAGGCTCGAGCTGCGCTCTACGCTGGGCGAGTGGCCGGTGACCCGCCGAGCCGTGAGAGGACTGCCCCAGCGCTAAGCTCGGAGACAACTGCCTCCAGCTTCGTCGGCACCCGAGGGGCCGGGCCCGGCTCGGACGGACGGACCCAGTCACGGCGTGCGAGACTTCCCACCCCCTGCGCTGACCCCATGGGCTGAGGGAAACCGCCAGCTTGCAGCTATTGGCTGGCAGCCCCTCGGCCCCGCCCAATGGCAGAGCTGCCCGGGTGCCGCCACATGGGCCCCCTCCCTTTCCTCAGGCGGAAGCTGTGGAGGCGAAGGGACGTCAGGGCGATGACGTCCATGTCAGGGAGCGAGATGCGGAAGCCATGCGGCCTTCCCCGCTCTCCTGGCGCCTGCGCAACATCCGGGCTTTGCTGCGTTGGGTGTCGCGGCCGCCAGGGGTTGGCGGCGAGTGCGGACGTGGCAGAGCGGCCGGGGGGGGCACTTCCGGTGGGAGCGGCAGGCCCGGGAACCGGAAGCGAGGCCCGGCTCGGGAGCGGAGCTGGGACAGCACCGCCGTGAGCGGCAGAGCGGGAACAGCCGGGGTGAGCGCGGCCGGCCCGGGGTGGGGCGTCTCCCTCGCTTCGGCGGAACGGGGGCCCGGCTTGGCCCGGTGGGTGCCTCGGGCGGGCGGAT